AACATCGCAGGCTGCGCCCAGGAGCCCGTGTACAAGCAGCCCTACCAGCAGTCCAGCAGGCCCGACAAAGGGTCGACACAGAACCCGGAGCACAGCAGCCCTTACAGCAACTGGTGGACGCACAGGCGGCACTAGCACGGGCCCACCGAGAGGACTGCAGCAAGGAGGCGATGGAGGCCCGCATACACTGGCTACGGGCAGGGGAGCGGCCGAGCCCAGCCATGACTGCGTTCATCCAGGCCCAAAGCGCGGACCAACAACCAGCTCCCGTCGCCCTGCAAGCCCAGTCCGGCCGCCTAGTGACTAATCCTAGCCAGCTTCCCCAGGTGGTCGCAGACTTCTGGAGTGAAGTGAGCCGAGCTCCCAACTACATCTGCCCCCAAGCCCAGCAGGAGGTGCTAAACTCCCTGGCGGCCGCCAACATCTCGCTACCCGCAGAGGCAGATGAACAGCTGGGATCCAGAACCATCACGGCCACCGAGTTACGAAAGGCTCTTAAGAAAAGCCAGCCTGGCAAGGCCCCGGGGTGGGACGGCATCCCAGCCGACATCTACAGGAAATTCTGGTCGGCCATTGGCACCACCATGGCTGGCCTGCTCACCGCCATAGGCTTGGCGGGGCAGGTGCCGAAGGGCTTCTTGGAGGGGGTACTGACGGTGATCTACAAAAAAGGCGACCCCAAACTCCCTGGCAACTACCGTCCTATCACCCTGCTTTGTTCGGACTACCGACTGCTCACCAAAGTGCTGGCAAACCGCCTAGGCCCTGCCCTTGGCCAAGTCATAACCCCCGTGCAATCAGCCTTCCTACCTAGGCGCCTCATTGGAGCTAGTGTGCTATTCCTGCGTCACCTGTCACACCTCCTTCGCAAGCAGAACCGCCGGGGGCTCCTGGCATTCCTGGACTTCGCCAAGGCCTATGACACGGTGGATCGTGGGTTCCTCCTGGCAGCAATGGAGACCATGGGTGCAGGGCCACAGCTCTGCGCCTGGGTACGGCTGCTGCTGAGCGAAACGCGAGCCAGAGCGATGGTGAATGGCTACAAATCGAAGCTGGTGAACATGGAAGCAGGGGTACGGCAAGGGTGCCCCCTCGCACCCTTGCTCTACCTCTTCGTTGCTCAGGCCCTACAATGCTGGCTCCGGAGCCAAGACGTGGGGATCAAATTACAGCCAGCCGACTCACAACCAGTCACCGCGTGCCAATATGCGG